TGAAATGGTCAAAAAGCCCAAAGGAGGGGCATGAGCAATCTCAAAGGTCACTGACTTTCTGCCTAGCTCCTTAACTTTCTTATGAAAATGTTCATTAATGATTGGGCTAAAGGGGAGGTGACGGTTGTCACATGGAAGATGTCCTGACTGTTTGGCGTGCATGTGGGTTGAATGTCACGGCTCAGGAAGTCTAAAGGGCAGGTACTGCTGATCTTCAACAGCTTAAGAAATGGAGTTATATTTTAACACTGCTTGCAAAAAGTGAAAATAGCCCATGAAGGAAGCAGAGACAATAGAGCTATTATTCTCTCTAAATTAAAAATACCCACTCATGCTTAAGAAGGGAAAATACTGCTGCCTGCTGGGCTCAGATGCATGGTATGTGCAGCAAGGAAGCTAATAGGCTAAAACACTCCATGGTTTGTATGGGGAGGTCATAAAAATCTAGATACTCAGATAAGGATGAGACTATTCTTCAGGGGTGATATAGAAGAGTAGGAAGAAACCTAGATTTTGAGTCAGAAGACCTGGGCTCTGGTTTTGTATGCCAACAAGTTATGTGGAAAACTCTCTCTGTCTCTCTCTGTCTCTCTGTCTCTCTGTCTGTCTGTCTGTCTCTCTCTCTCTCACTCTCTCTCTCTCCCCTCTCTCCTTCTCTCTGTCTGTCTCTCCCTTTTCCTCAGAATTCTCATCTGTAAAATCTATTAATGCCTTTCCTGCCCCACCACCACTATAATCATTATCTTCATATAGAAAAGGGGGTAGGTATGAGACCTAGAAGTTCATTGGTCTTGGGAATTCCTGCAGGTCAACAACTTCTCTGCACCTTATAAGTCTGAAGAGTCTCCCAGAGGACTGAGAAGTTACATGACTTGCTCAGGATTACAAAGCTAGTATGAGTTAGAGGTGGAACTTAACCTAGTCTCTCCTGACCAGAGCCCAGCTCTTTTTTCATGACACCACACTGCCTCTCCTCATCTTCATCTTCTCCATCATCACTATTGATACATGCTTTCAAGTTTTACAAAGTTAAATACGTAAATTGTCTCATCTGAACATTACCTCCCAAGGAGTTTCCATGATAATCAAACGAGATAGAATCAGTCACTCAACAAGCATTTATTTAGAACTTACTGAATGCCAGGTACTGCACTATGGCTTAGATGTAAAAGTGTGTTGGGTTCTGAAAATTGCTCCACAAATACGTTATTTTATTTCTATTATTTACTATTTAACTATTCAACAATTATTCAACTACTTCCTGAAAATAGCTAATTCAGATACTGGATTATGGATCTTCAAACAATGGTAATAATAATAGCTTCCACTTACATAGCACTCTAAGGTTTGGAAAATTCTTCACAGACATTATTTCCTTTGCCCCTCACAACTAGTTATATAGAATAGTAGCCTGGGAAAGACTAGGGCTGGAGGTAGAGATCTGAGAGTCTTTTGCATAGAGAAGATAATTAAACCCATGGGAGATGATGAGATCACCAAGAAAGAAAGAGTAAAGAGAGGAGACAAGAGGTTAGGCCCTGTTCAAAGCCATGGCTTGCAACCAGAGTTAGAATTTGAGTGATGATCTAGCAAAGGAGATGGACAATATGTGGTCAGACAGGTAGGAGGAGAATCAGGAGGGAGGAATGTCACAAAACCCATAGAGGAAAGTACTTTCAAAATAGAGGGTGCTCAACAAATCAAATGCTGCAGAGAGGTCAAGAATGAATGAACAAATGAATGATAAAAGGCCATTGTATTTAGCAGCTTAGAGACCACACATAGCACAGGAGAAAAGAGTTTTAGATGAGGGATGAGATCAGAAGCAGAAGAGAAGTAAGTGGGAAGAGAAGGTGGAGACAGTGAATATGGACAGCTTTTCCTGGAAGTTTGACTACAAAGGGAAGAAGAGATCAAGAATGGTAGCTTGAGGGAATTATAAGGTTAAGTGAGAGTGTTTAAAGGATAGGGAAGGCTGAAAGTGTTTGGAGGCAGTCAGAAGCAGCCAATAGATTGGGAGAAATTAAAGATTTGGAGAAAAGGTGCAGGAGGCAATCTGCATTAGATAAGAAGGACGAGGATCAAAGGAAGAATATTAGTGAGAAGGGCCACCTCTTCACCAGACAGTGGAGTAGAAGAGGGAAAGGATCTGGGCTCATGCCCAGTGGTTTTGAAATAGAGTGAGAGAGAAGTGTCAGTGCAAGGAGATTTGCCTTGATTTTCTCAGTAAATTATGATGTGGGGTTCCCTACTGATAGGATGAGGTGAGAAGGAATTATGGGAGAGAAGATTTGAACAGTTGCTGTGGGGAATGGGATAGATAATCAGTTAGGGAGTGGTAGAAGGATTGCCTTGCTCTAGTGAGGGTCTAGTTGAGATTAGGTAAAGTAAGTTTGTGGTGGACCTTATCAACATGATGTCTTGTAGCACCACTGGGAAACATGAGGGTCAGAGTGGAGGAGGTGGGTGGTGGGAGTAATTCAGGATTGGAATTGGCTAAGGTAGAAGCAGCAATAAGATGAGGGAGCGAGGGATTTGAGAGAAGAGGACAGTGTAAGGTTGGACCAGTTAACTGCTTGTTAACTCTAGGATCAAGACTGGAAAGTGAGGAAAGAGAAGCAAGGGCAGAGAGGATGATCTGAAAGAGTACCGTGTGGAAGAATTTAGATATCACAACGTGGCCAAATAACAAGATTAGGAAGAATGAGACATAGGGAGAAATGGAATGGTGTCAGGTTACGGTTGATTAAGGGAATTTCAGAATTTCAATCACAAAAGTGGTGATAGTGAGATTTAAGGGGTAACTGTCCTTGTGGGTGACTGATATAGAGTAAAGGTGGAGGTCACTGGAACTGAGGAGACTGAGGAACTAAAAGGCCAGGATGTTTGAGGGAACATAAACATGGATGTAGAAGACCTGCAGATTTGGGGTCTTGTTAAGTCATCATATTTTACTTTTTTCAATTTTAAAAATTCTGAACTTAATAGAGTTAATGACCAAAATAGAACAACCATTTCTGCATTCATAACAGAACTGAAAAAGAGGTTTGTATATGAACCTACAGATTTCCGTTATATAGAGCTTGCTTTTCTTTTTAAGTGTATACTAAGTTTAACCTGTAGCTTTCAAAACTGTCTTGTTTGTGCTTCTTTCTGGCCTTTTGTTCTTTTCTCTGAAATTAAAAAAAAAAGAAACCTCAATGACCCTTTTTTCTTCTTCCTTCCTTTCTTTCTTTGTTTCTTTCTTTTCCTTTGTTTCTTTTCTTATTTCTTCCAATCTATCTCTAATCCTACCCCTAGCCCCCTTCCCCAACCTTGGGGGTAGGAAGAGGGAAGAAAAAGAAAGCCCTTGTAACAAATATGCATGTTTAAGTGAAACTAATTCCCACGTTGGCTGTGTCTGAAACTGTACGCCTCATTCTTCATTTTGAATCTATCATCTCTGGCAAGAGGAAAGTAGGCTTCATCACTGGTCCTCTGGAATCATAGGCATCACATTCTACCTACCAGACAGCATGGCCTGATCGAAAGGACTGACCAGGAAGACATGGGTTCCCACCTCTGAAATACTAAACATGTGACCCTGGGCTTAACACTTAACCTCTTAGAGTATAAACTATCTCTCTAAGATTATGGGGAACATCTTCTAATTTGTGCATAAATTGGATTTAAGTGAGGCAGAGTTGCACGAAGCCATCGCCCTCACTCTGTCCTCCAGAGTCATCACAGTTCAGTGACAGGACAGAGTCAAGATGACTGGTGACGGCTCAAGATGCAGTGGATGACTTTAGCGTCTTCGATGTCTAACTAAGCTCTAAAGTATTCCACAGAATAAGTTACAATGAAGGGGCCAATCTACATTGGCAGAAGGAGTTTCCTTACCCAGGAGTTCCTTATACTAATAAAATGCCTACTCTTCTTCAACTCTCCTCTTCAGAAATTAAAGAAAAATTCAGAGTGTTTCTCTGACTAACCTTAAGTCAGTGATGCTCTTAATAATGTCTCAAACTATAAGTTTATACTTTGTTTGATACTTTGATGGACTTGTAGGCTTATCATCATGGACATTCCAGTCAGTGTTAAGGATCGAAACCTATTTATGTCTTCAGGTTCTGTATGACTTGTCCATGCCCTCACAGCAAACCTCCATGAGAACAGCCCTCAACAAGCTAGGGTTCTTTCTCTAAATATCTTGATATAGCGAGGATACCAATGGAGCATACAGGTCGCCAACTGATTATTTCTTGCTTTTGTTATATGACCAGCCTACATTTTTACACGTGTTCAAAAGCATGGTGTTACCTATAATAAGATTTTTTTTAAAAATCTGTAAATGAAAATTCATAACACATTGATGTATTTCATATAAAGATTTTGTTTCTGGCATTATTACCTGAAAATGTGCCAAGTTGAACAACACCATATTGAAAGACAAAAAATACAAGTTCCTACATCCACATGTTCTTGAGTCAGTATTCACAAGCAAATTCTATTCTGGGGTTCAAACATAAGATATATTACACATCAATAAACTTTTTACACTAATTTTTTCATAAAATGCATTTAATCATTGAATTTTATAAAAATTATTATTTTGTGGGTTTAAAATGAACAGGATGAAATATCAGGAAATGACCAAATGCTCTCAAATTTCTCTCTTCAAAAGAGACATCATCCATCCCAGATTAGTGGATTTGGAAATGAAAAACCTCCATCAGAATCCCAGCTCTGGGATGGTCCAGCTGTGGGAATGCTGCCAAGTCCCTTTCCCTTTCTGGGTCTCAGTTGCTTTTTTCATTTGTAAAATGGGGACATTGGAAATGATTGCTTTGGAAGTTCTTTCTAGTTCAAAATCTGGGCTCACCAGCAGATGCTTGAAAGCACTGTGAAAATTGTAATATTCTCTGTCAAAGTCAAGCATTACATGTCAGCATATAAAGAACATTACATTATTAAAATAAAAACCTTTATCTCACAAGGCATTCCACAGACATCCCTCATTAAAGACAAGAAGCTAACACCCCAAAGAATAGAGTTTCCTGAGAGGTTAGAACAACACAAATTATAGACAGTCTGTCGACAGTGAGAACAGTCAGTGTTTTTAGAAATCTTCCCAGAGTTTCGTCTTCCAAATTTTGGGTGGGGAGGAAGAAATCAATATTTGAGCTTTCCCAAATCCTAGACAGAGTAAAGTATCACTTTCTCCTCCTTCCTGACAGAAGGAAGAGAAAAACATGATATTGTATTATATAGTACAAGTATGTCAACAACTGGGCACAGAAATTAAGCATAATAATTTCCTCAAGTTCCCTAAAGATGGAGTAATCTATTATTACCAATGCATGACAAAATAAATGCTAAAGAAAAAAATTCTCCAAGGAGAGTTGTGGACTTATATGTTATTTATTGAACTAAGATCTCTTTCTCTCTCGTTCTTTTAATTCCTTTATTAACATAACCTGTTTCCTTTATATGCAAGTTCAATTCCTTTCTGAAAGAAATGCCCAGAATTAGTTATCAATTTACATTAATGCTACTAATAATGTAGATATTTATATATTATATCTGCAAAATCATTTGCAGGCATGATTATTTGAATCAGCAAATTTTAATTGATTTTCCCCCATTAGATTGTGGGCTCCTTGAGGACAGGGACTGCCTTTTGTCTCTTTTTGTATCCCTAGCATGTAGCACAGTGCTTGCCTCATACATAGTAGGAACTTAACAAATGTTTATTGATTGATTGACTGTGAAATGTCAAAGAATTTGTCATCTCTTGATCTGGTCCATCAGAGTAGCTGGAAATATTAGAACTAAAGACTTTGCATAATAGATGGCAGTGATTTTTAAAAAGAATATTTAGGCCCCTTGATCTTGTCTTGAGGCACTCACTCCCTTTCCTTGGCCAGTTAATAAGCAATCTCTTTCTAATTTTTCCATATTCTCTTGGCTAACAAAATGGTAAAGGAGCCAGTAGCATCTGTCAGAGCACACACTACCAGAGATGGAGATAATGAACTTTTTGTTCAGTCTTCCTGAGTGATAAAGTGTCTTACCAGGTGGTTTAATCCTCTCACTTGACTATGGAGTATGGAGTTGGAAAGCAGAGGAAGAAAAGGAATGGATTTGCAATGAGAGGACATGGATTCAAATTCTGTCTCTGCTACTGTGTGACCATGGGCAAGTCACCTGATTTCTCTGAGTCTGTTTCCTTACCTGCAAAATCAAGAGAGAGTAGAATAAATGACCTCCAAAATCCCTCCAAGCTATAATAGCATATGTGCTATATTAGGAAACTAGCAATTCAATAGGAACCCAGAATCTTATCCACAACTGCAAACATACTCCTAATATGAATGTCAGAAGACAGAAAAGCAAACTTGCATTAAGGAAGAGGATGTAATCCGATGACACGGTTTATTGTTAGAAACTCTTCCCACCATAGGTAGTAATCAGAATAATAATTGTAATAATGTAATGAAATTGCAATAACATTTTTCATAGAAAACGCTTCTCTATTTAAAATATGCCACCAGCACAATAATGTCAAGAAAATTGATATAATATGTGGCATTTTTCAGGGGGCCTTTTTAACCATCTTTCCTGAATAGGACTGAGTATGGCTACCAAGTTAAAGAGGAAGCCACACCCTCCATATCTTATTAGCAACTTGGTGTACACATATGATAATAAGTTGCATGACTTCATTGAAAAACACACTAAACAGCTTCTTAATGTTGCAACCTTTCTCCATTACGATAAAAATATCAGTTGAACTTAAGTGTAAAAAGCTTAAGGTATACAAAGGAAAATAGAGAGTGCAGACTTTGAATTTGAATCTAGAGGTCAAATAGAACCAATCGATGAAGGTAGGACTCGTGCATAACTTAGTCTTCTCCAATTAAGTAACACCAAGTGTAAAGTTGCCAAGGCAAAAGTTGTGGCTATGGATGTCAAAACATCCTGGGTTACAAAAGTCAGCCCTCAAGGGAAGGTACCCACTTAGAACCATTAACACCTTCAAAATAACAATGTTAATGGATGCTTTGAGAACAACCAAATGAATAGGTCTGGAAATTATGGATTGATAGAGATTTTACAAGAAAATTCTAGAAATTGTGCAAATAATCACTCCAGGTTGCAAAAAAAGGGGGGGGAGCATTTATTGAATATCTGAAAATACAATCAAAGTAAATTGTAGTATATGGATGAAATGAAATATTACCATGCTGTAAGGAACAACAAATATCATGAATATGAAGAAGCATAAAAAGACTTGCATGAATTGATGTAAAGCTAACAGAACCAGAAAAAAACCCAATATAATGGCTACACTGATACAAGTGGAATGACCACAAAGTCTGACCACAAAATTCTGTTGAATTGCAGGTTGCAAAATTACAAAGAACAATCTGGAGGTATGAGCAGGTGCCTTCTGCCACTCCTTGTGTCTGTGGTGGCAGGGGAGGTGGGAAGGGTTGAATAGCACATATCTTCTCAGATTTTTTCAATGTATGGATTGGTCTAATTTTTTTTCTCTCCTTCTTTTCCTTTTTCCTTAAAAAAAAAAATAGTTCTTGTTAGCCAGGCATGATGGTGTACACCTATAGTCCCTGCTACTATGGGAGGCTGAGGTTGGCAAATAACTTCAGTTCAAGAATTCAGAGTTGCAGTGGGACTAAAGACCACAGGATGTCTGTACTAAGGCTGGCACCAATATGGTGAAGCATCAGGATTGGGAGGCCACCAGGCTGGCTAAGGAGGGACAAACTGGCCAAGATAGGAAACATATACAATCGTGAGGGGGGACTTCCATTATTTAGACATCTATTTCATGAAAATCAGAGCACTTAATGCAGTCTTGATGCCCTTATTGATAATTTCATCTTTCAAAAATTAGAATAACCAGTCAGAACAAATTCTACTCTGGTTTATATTCTCATTAACAGAGGAGAGTTGATTTCTGGGCTGGAAAGGATAGAAACCTTGAAGCTAAGTGACCATTCTTTTATACAGCTGTGATAGTGGGGGAGAGGAAATACAGGCATAGTTTGGAAATAGTTGTGCACCCTAGATTTTTGAAAAGCGAAAGGAATCAGAGGTAAAATGGATGGGATCCCATGAACTAAAACATAATAGGAAAGTCAGCCCAGGGAAGGAAGGAAGACTCTCTAGAATTCAATTCTGAATACAATTCCAATAAGAAAGTTATATAAAGGTTGTCTGAAGAGAGAGATATGGTTGTATAGGGAATTCACCAACCAACTTAAAGTTTAAAAAGAAATCTATGGAATATGGAAGCAAGACTGGGAAACAGAGGGTAAATATAAGAGCATGATACAGACCTTCAAAAAGCGTCAGGAATCCTCAAACTCAGAATGAACTGAGGCTGCCATTTGAAGCTAAGGAAAATGAGAAGGGCGTTGTTGTTGTTCTATATTGGGGGGGGGAAGAAGGATCAAAGAAGGCATGAAACCATTGCTTAGGGTAGACAGGATAACTGATAAAGAAGAGAAGGCAGAATGGCTCGATCATTATTTTGCTTCCATTTTCTCTGCCAAGGAGAAGGACCTTTGCGCTAGAAATGGCAGACCAAAAATTACTGAGAGGGAGTTGATGCCCAAGATAAGTAAGGAAATAGTAAGAGAACACTTCATAGCCCTTAATGAATTCAAGTCACCTCACCCGGATAAAATTTATCTTTAGGATCTGGAAGAGCTGGAGATGTGATTGATAAGTCTCTCTCAGTGGTAATTGAAGAATCAAGGTAAACAAGAGGACCACAAGATTGGAGAAAGGCAAGTTTCTTGAGTTCCATAAAAAAGGAAGAGAACAGAATCTGCAAGCTAAAGGTTACTGATTCCTAGAAAAGTTTTTAAATGAATCATTAAAGAGATGCTTGGGAAAGATTTAGAAAGGGAAATAGTGGTTACAAATAGCCAGCATGGCTCTATCAAGAAAGAGTCACGTGAAACTAAACTCATTGCTATGTTTTAAAAGGTATGCTAAGCTTTGTAAACTTACAAGCACAGCATAAATGTGAGTTATAATAACAGTAACAGTCAGTTTGGCATAGTGAATCAGATACTGGACTCGGAGTTCAGAAGACAAGTTCAAATTCCATCTTAAGCACTTACTAGCTATCTGACCATGGGCAAGTCATTTAACCTCACTATGCCTCCATTTCCTCATCTGTAAAATGAGGAGATCGAACTTGGTGGCCTCTGAGGTGTTTTCCAGTTCTAAATTTATGCCCTTATGTTATCTCAAAATGAAATAATTCCACAGTACTACAAGAATCGATAATTTCACTGAGATTTCACCTAGGCACATCACAACCACTCTATAACTTCATAGTTGCTCTTCCAGAGGGTCTGTGATGAAAAAAAAAATAAATCATTTCAATGCAACCCCTCTGGTGATAAGCCCTTCTGAACTTAGGCTGGTCTTCAGACAGTAGATATTTGCTCTGTCATTGGGCCCACATTAAAGCCTTTTGGACTTGACAGAGTTGGTGCTGGCAGTACATTGATAAACCAGGCTTACCTCCATGACAGTTATGTGTAGTAACTGGTAGAGGACTGGGCTTTTAGTCGGAAAGCTCTGAGTTAAAATCTAGCCTCAGACACTTACAAGCTGTGTGACCCTGGACAAGTCACTTGACCTCTATCTTCAGTTACCCCATCTGTAAAATGATTGTAATAACACTTCACAGAGTTTTTGTGAGGATAAAATGAGATAATATCTGTGAAACTCTTTGCAAACCTTCAAGTGCATTTAATATAATATATACACTGTTATTATTATCATTATCATTATTCTAAGATATCAAAGAAATATTTTAGTGAAGATATACCAGTAAAAACAAAAATAATTATTTTGTCAATGAAGGGCAAAGGAAAGGAAGACAGAGAAAAGGAGAAAAACAGAGAAAAGAGGAGAATGGAGAAAGATACAGGGACAGGAGGAAGAGGGAATTGTCCACAATTTATTCCAAATAACAATAACTGCAGCTTCCCAGTAATCCCAGCCAGCCAAAGACTGCTCACTAGCTGAGGCCTATCAGCACCTGCCTGGTGGACAGCAACACAAACCCTGGGTCTTCTCTGGAGGACTTTTTTATTGTCCAGGGTCTCTCCCTGCCCAAGCCTCCTCAGCCTTAGCAC